GTACAAAATAAAAGTATTCTTTACAAGACTATCACGGCTTGTACGACATGAACGGGTATATAATTACTAATTGATAAATAATAATCGACCCGCTGTGTGGCTAAATAGTTAGTTCGTTTACTTAATATAGTAAATGGTAAATACGAATAACCACTGGTTTGAAATTTGAATTATTTGAACTGCGGGCCAAGTTATCGGTGTTGTCCATCATGAAACTGTATTAAAAAAGAATAACGGATTTAAAGCTATTAAAAACATAAAAAGCATTTTGGAAGGAAAAACTGTTTCACGAGATGTCTTCATGTTCCTGAAGACTTCAAGTTTGATGATATGACCTACATGACATTTGCACCAATCACCTCGGTAGATATCGAACGAAGTTTTTCGGAGTATAAACAAATATTAGCTGATAACCGGAGAACATTGACATTTGAACACAGCAAACAATATATTGTTGTGCAGTGCAACCACCACATACTATCATAAGGTAAAAATACTTAATTATTACAAAAAAATCAATTTTTTTAAAATTTTGCCTGTTAATACCTACTTAATACTATTTTTAATTTACTGCTTTAAAATTAATTATTAATATTTTTTCTTTATAATATGTATATAAATAATTTGTAAACATCAAAATTTAATTTTAAATCTATGAAATACTGTACTATACTGTATATTAGAGTGAAATCCACTCAACCACTTTTTTTTATAGTTAATAATGTTATTAATTAGCCTAATATTAATTGTTTTTAACTGTTAAAATATCAATAAAGGCATTTCTATATGGATAATATTCTTAAATTTAAGTTTGATGATGAGTTAATTAAAATTAAGGATAGAAAATTGGTCATGCATATCATATATTTTATAATATACGTACATATAAGTTTGTAAAACATCACTTTTTATTATTGCATAATACTCTTAAATTACATTGTTTTATAAGGGAAAAATTATTACAGTAGTATTTAATACTTGTATATAAGTTATAGGTAGGAACTACTATTATAATAAATAACATATTTAAACAAAAAATGAATACAACCCAAATCGCCAACACAAATCTTAAGCTAGGTGTAGAAACAAGTAAGCATAATATTGATCGTACTTATACGTAGATAATGTTTTTTAGAAAAACAGTATTATAAGAAGTCAAATTATATTTAATAATATGATGTGGTTACTATTTCATTCAAATAACACTAGTTCTTTAAATTTAAATTTAAATTGTAATTATATTTTTTATGCGTGGGATTATCCAAACATATTAGTATTCGTTTCGTCATAATATGTAAGAAATATAAAAATCCTACTCACGCTTTGATGGTGCATATGTTGCATGTATATTTTCAACCATATAGAACATAAAACATACGAATAAAATATTAATATGTTTAACCATGTTTTTAATTACCAACTACTAAGAATAAATTAATTACAATGACGGAGTTGAAAAATACGAAGTGAGAATAGTAATAACATTTGTTCAACGACGGTATTTAAAGGGTTATTTTGACTCACACATTTGTATGTAATAACTTTGTAAACCATCTGGGGAAATAGTAGTAAGTAAATAATGTTTGGTTTCCTACATAATATGTACCTACTTTATGAAGGTGTAAAAATGTCAAAACGTTTATGTTCCTAGTTATATTTTAGTAGCTATCCGAACTTCTCAATAGTGTGTATAGTAATTTATTATTATACTATGGAATACTTAACACATCGACTACAGTGATCAATTTGACACAAAGTATAGAGCAGAGCGGTACCAGCTTCCCAATTTTAATTTTGTATATCTTAAAATATATTAAATAATATAATTAAAGTCCATTTCGTCACTTTTTCTAGTTCGGTTGGTATTATTGCTAAAATTGTTGTTTTCGCACGATTTAAAGTAGTTCTAAGATACATTGTTTTCGACTTCAATTAAGAAAATTATATCTCAGATGTTGCTATTGTGACTGGTAAATGGTAATGTAAGCGGAATAATCCATTCTATTGTAAAATTAGCTCATACGTTGAATTTGATAATATAATATTTGATATATTTTAAGTTAAAGATTATATTATAAGTGTAATATAATGTAATTATATATGATTTTACCTAAGTGGACGATACCTACTTTGAGAAACGATGTACTGTTAGAAATTAAAAAAAATGTATTTAATTATATTATTGAGTTGCCATAAGAAGAATAAACTGTATGTTACAATAATAGAAACAGCTGCAACATATTTTAAAAGCTTAAAGACACTTAAAAAAATGTGCGAATCGATTTTTTTTGTCAGATCATTTTTTTGAAACATTAAAACTCGTTTCCCAAAATATATTCACATGTGGCAAACAAAATGCTAAATCAATAAATAAAATAAAGTCATCAGTAACAATTTATCATACATATACTATAATACCCATGATAATGAAAAACGATGTGAAAAACTCAAATTTCAAATTTCAAAAATACAAAATATAATAAACACTTGCCTACGCTCTATTTCTCGTTTATCATGTATAATAGGTATTATGACGTCAAAATTGCATTTCAATATTAGTGTTTTCGAAGACAAAATCGTATGTACAGATGTACAGTACCCTCTCTGCTACATTTTTTAACAATATTATTTTCTCTTTCCTTAATTATTTCAAATTTTGATTTTGGAAAAGAAAAAAAGGCTGACTGTTTTCCATCGATATCTTATAGATTGATACATTGATAAATTATTAATATTAAACTTTAGACAACTACTACTGTTATGAACTCGACAAATAATGCAGAGGAGAGCTGTACCTGCAGCTTGCCCATTTTCTTTTTGTGTATTTTTAAAATATATTATATGATATACAATTATTGTAGACATTGAGAATTATGATAGTTATATTATTATTTTTTTTTTTTTAGAAAATGTACAATCTGTAACAACAACGACATAATAAGTAAATGTGATAATATGTACAACAAACAATATAATATAATGATAGAATGACAGGATAAGGGAAGTCATTAGACCGCTTCAGATTTAAATTAAATATAATTTATTGATTTTTTTTTTTTAAATTTTACATTGAATCATAGAAGATCACGAGTTAGAGGGATTATCAGGAAGTGTACGTGATGATAGGAGGGAGATAAGAAGATTTTGGTGTAGATGTAATTTTTTGTGAAATTTAGTGTAGTATTGTTTGTTTAGTTGTTCAACAGTTTGTATTTTTAAGTCCTTGTGAAGTGTATTATTTGTTACGCCCTACATCGCACGTATTTTTCGCTTTAGTCGTTTTTTCTCCATCATTTTCGTCTTTTCGTACACCGTTTGTGAACGAATCGAGTAGTAAACTTCTTTTAAAAGACGTACGTATGCCGTTTTCACTTGCAATCGGTTCGTACACTTCGCAATCACGTTAAGAAATGACGCGGAAGACCAACATTCTATACACGTATATGTATATGTCGAATACAATTTTTGTGAATAACTTAACGTTCCCATTCAAATTTACTGAAACATGAGAGCTGGACTGACCCGAGAGTGGAACTGACCTGAGACCCGGACTGAAACATAGGAAATGGACTGACCTGAGAGCTGGACTGAAACATGACAGCGGGACTTACCTGAAAGCGAGACTGAAACATGGGAGCTGGACTGACCTGAGGTGGACTGAAACATGACAGCTGGACTGACCTGAGAGCGGGACTGAATCATGAGAGCCGAACTGACCTGAAATCGGGATTGAAACATATGAGCTGGACTGACCTGAGAGCTGGATTGACCTGAGAGCCGGACCGATCTGAAAGCGGGACTGAAACATATGAGCTGGACTGACCTGAGAGCCGGAATGACCTGAGAGCGGGACTGAATCATGAGAGCTGAACTGACCTAGAGCTAGACTGAAACATAAGAGCCGGACTGCCCTGAATGCGGGATTGAAACATGGGAGCTGGACTGACCTGAGGTGGACTGAATCATGAGAGCTGGACTGACCTGAGAGCCGGACCGACCTGAAAGCGGGACTGAAACATGGGAGCTGGACTGACCTGAGAGTGGGACTTACCTGAGAGCTGGACTGACCTGAAAGCGGGCCTGAAACATGAGAGCTGGACCGGCCTGAGAGCCGGAATTTTCGGTGAAAGACATAAGCGCCAAAATGAGATGAGAAAAAAAATCGTATTTTACAAAAACGCCAAAATCGTATCGTATATAAGCGCCAAAATTCTAGGTACCTGTGTGCTACGCAGTGGCGGCTCGTGCCTAGGTGTGCAAGTGTGAGCTCACCACATATATTAATTAGATATAATAGTGAAAACAAATATCTGTTTAACTGTATTTATTATATAAAAAAATTAAATTTTAAAAACAAACAAACGACAATTATTATTATACTCCGAATTAATATTTTTTAAAGTACTTAATATTATTTTCTAAAACTGTATAATCTCAAAATTAAAAATGCTAATAAATATTTTACTAATTACATTTATGCTTAAAACAGACTAATTTTTTTAAAATAAACTTTTGCAATAATTACACACCGCCTACTTTGAACACCACGAGCCGCCACTGGTGCTACGGTTAAAAGATATTAAATAACAGATAATATTATAATTAGAACTATATCGATCAAAAACTCCAAACGTTTAATCTTAATCGATAAATGTATTATTTTACAAAAACTCAACCAATTTATTAAATTTATATTTATTGCATGTATACATACCTATACTCATATTATATTTTAACAATTTATTATTGAACATTTTTTTAATGTAATATATTATATGAAATAAAATATTAAATTTGGCGCAAATGATAGGTCATTATTATACCTTTGGCGCTTATGCCATGTGTTAAGTACAACAGGTATACAATATTAGATTGGCGCTTATGTCATACAAATTTTGGCGCAAATGATAGGTCATTTTTGTACCTTTGGCGCTTATGTCATGTAGCCGGAATTTTTGTTTCAAAGTTTAATATTTGGGTTGGTTCACTTCCAGTAGCACATGCATGAATGTGTTTACAAATGTTTTATTATACATTTATTAGATTATTACATTATTCAAGCAAGTGCATTTGTAAGAATGTATACAAATATGACACATATCACAGCGTAAAAAATATTCAAAACTACATGATGAGTAAGTCTTTTCCACTTTAGACTGACAACTTCACACTGACAGCATCATTTTTATGTGATTTAGTATTGTATGAAATATAATAATCTCTTTTAATGTTGTGTAAGTCTTTTTTTAAATCAAATGAATCCTTTTTAATTCTGTCCCAACTTCTTATCCTCGAATGTCATATAATGTTCGGTTGACTGGTACACCAATAAATTGCCAACTTTCCTGAAAGAGAATGGATGGTATGTCAACCATTTTAATTGAAAATAATATTTTAATTTTTTACTAATTATAATTTTAATTTTTTTTTCAGATTAAAAATGATAAAATTACAGTTTTTACCAATCTTTTAAAATATATTTCACAATAGTAATATATGTAGATTACCTGCAATTGTATTCCTTTCTTCAATAGGGATTCGCTGCATTGCAATTTAAATAGTATGCCAAAGATGAGTACTATAATAGAAGATCAGCACTAATTTTTGAACTCTCTTTATGGACTACTGTATTTGATGGGCATACATGGCAAGTTTTTACAGACCCTCCACTTTTCCAAGTTTTTATACCCTATTGTATTAAGTGTTTAATTTGATTACTATTATTACTATTTTTTTTTACATATTGTATGTCTTAATTTAAGTTCCTTACATTATTAGTAGTCCTTGAATCAAAAGATTTATGACATAAGAAATATATATATTGTTTATCTTCACTGTGTTTTTGAGATGTTTGTTTTACATACTGACACCCTTCCTTTTCCTTGACTTATATTACAATTTTTAATGATTATCAGTTATATATAAAAGTCTTAAAAATAATGTTATACTACACCTTATATACACGTACCTTGAATTCTGTTAAAATTAAATTTATTGTGTACTAAATTTACTTCATAGTTCATGCATAGTTTCAAGATGATTACTATACATCTTAAATGTTTTAAATATTTTGTTGCAATTTTTTTAAAAGAACATTCTTGTTTATTGTTGATGGTACACATTATATGTTACAGCACCTACATTGCATTGTGTTAAATATCAAAATAATTGGGTACAATACAATGATAGTAGTATAGGCGGACATAGGAGGAGATTTAAGAGGCTTAGCCCTCCAAAGATTTTAATAGACCCCTTCCAAAAAAAAATCAAAGGGGGTGTGGAGAAGATGCCCTGTGGATCAATTTACATTGGATTATTATAGCCCCCCCCTAAAAATTGAACCAAATAAAGTTATAATTCTGTTATAAGTGACTAGTCCTAAACAATCGTCAAAGACAGCTTTGCTTCCTTTCGTACAAACATGTCACACTACATAACAAAATTATTTTCATCTACAAGCTACTACTCAAACCTATCTGGTCCTTTCAATCCAAATACCTAACCTAACCAAAGCTCCTTATAAATAAAAATAAATCGAGGAGTATTTTGTCATTATAACATTTGATAAGAACAATATTGATAACGAAAATTAAAAATGATGACGTCATGGATCCGGAGTTTTTTCCTGCGAAGATCCATTTGTCCTAAACGGCAATGTTCATATTTCAATGTGATAACAGTATTTTATAACAAAAAAAAAACCGTAACCCCCCACTGTTTGTTAGTTATCTATATCGTGTTATCACATAACAATGCAAACATTGCCGTTTAGGCAAATGGCGGGAAAACTTTAAAATTCTGTATCGTGCCGGGATAGTCGGTTATCTAGTTGTTTATATTGTCAATGTTGTTCGAGCGGACGTATATAGAGTGTATTTTTTTTTCGTCATTGTACGTCTTTCTCCCGAGGCACCTATCGTGGCCATGTTGTCCAGGCCAATCAGGTTGCGAGGCACGATTCCGGTGTACCACCCTTCGAGAGATCATCGCCGACGTCGTTCCAGACTGGCCTGCCAAGCGTCATCTCTCCCGTCATCGGCCGTCAGATAAGAATTATCGTTTATTATTATTTAGTTGTATCACCTATTATCAATTGTTGATATAGGTCTATATAATATTATAATACTCTGTTAAATATGTACGCCGGTCTGCGCGGTGTAGACAACATAGGTTTTAGGTATCCCCATATCGCACGATCATGCTCGGTTTGCATTAATATGTCAATTGTTTTGTTTGGAAATATCAATGTAATCAAGTTAAATTGATAGTTGTTATTATTTTATGTTGGTGACACCTTCCCGTATCCCATTGAAAAACAGGTAAAGGCTTCTCTCGCGGAGGCGCTTGTACGCAAGTGTCGCGAGGCCACCTTAGATCGTACGGTTCGATAACTCCTCGTTGGATCTACGCAGACAAGTCCAGACCGAGTCAATGTTATTGGAACTATGTAACTATCCAAACTTTCCAATACAAATAAACATAGTAAACCGTCCATCTAAGAGAATTAAATCTACAAACCTTATATGGAGCTTGACATGGTCAAATAAATCAATAGATTAGATGTAGATACACTATTCTCTAATTATCTCCATGTTAATATAATTTAATCAATTCAATGTTCAGATGGAGTTCAACAATTATCTGAAAAATAAAATAACATTTTGATTTATTTAGTTTTTTGATTATGGATTAATACCATTTTATTGTTGTACCAATGAAGAGTTTAATTGCGTTTATGTAATATAAAATGTACTATATTACGTTTGAGTTGTATGCATAATACCCAGGTTCATAATACCACTTTTTTATTGATCAAACAAATTAATTCATACGATTTTATACTTTAGATCTGAGAATTTTCTATTGGATCGGAAATATTTTTTTAATGAAACATGAAATTGTGAACTATATAATGTTCACCTGATATTTCATTATTTCTTTTTTTAATTTTATGATTTAATTGTACTTTGTTAGTTTTAATAGATATTTTAATAATTTTTTAACATTTTTCAACTATGTTGTTTAACACATTATTTTAATTAAAATATTAATTTGAGATGTATATATATATATATATATATATATATATATATGTTGTCTAATGTTAAAAATTTTTGCAAAATACAATTTACTGAAAATCACATCAAAAATAATGAATTTGAAAACGTGAGTCTAATCACAAAAACTTTAAATTAAACGCAGTAAAACTGCCATTGGAACTAGTTTTATAAATAGTAAAATAATATATATTGTTATACAATTTGACAAAAGCTAAAAGTGTAAAAACTTGTTGGATAATATAACCCAGTTAATATAATTAATTTAATATTTACCTTGGTACTTTGTACTACTAATATTTGAATTTTTAACGAACACGTGATTTACCTAGTACGTAAATACACAATTAATGCTTGTGATCAGTGAATTTGTGATAGTAGTATAGTACCAAAAGATTTCTTACTAGTTCCCGATATTTTCTTTATAAGAGTATTGACGGCAAAACTCGATCGCTGTTTTAGAAAAAATTCTATATTAAAAGTTCTGCATAACTTTATGATGTATTGTCTTTTAATCAGTTTAATACTTACGTGTTATAGGATTACTCCGATAGTCGAATATAAACCTCCTCAGTGGCACTGAAATTTTTTGAATTAGGTTAGAGTATATTAGGACGTGTTCATTGTACTTTTATATTTTATATTTAGAACATGCATTAAACACAGTCACAAATATACATGAATTATAGATGGTCTAAAATTTAAAGGTGTAATTATACTTAATTGTTATAGATCATTGACCAAAAAAACTTACAAGGGTAAGTTGAGTCTGTTTCTTCCTTATTTTTCACTAATATAATATAAAATCATGTAAGATATTATACACCACAGCATTGGCTCATAATAAAAATGATACAATAAGGTTTGCATATTAAAATAATCTGAAGAAATGTGAAAGGCTTGTTGTCATTGTTACATTCTAACGTTAAATATAATATAAAACGCATAATCTTTTTATTTAATGTTTTAATAATAATAGGGAGAGATGTATTGAATAACTGTACCTATTGTACAATTATTAGTAGACAGAAACATAACAATGCATTAACATTAACTAGATAGTAGGTAAAGCCTAACTATGGTCTAAAGAGATTGTTACAGCAACTTTCAGCTAAACTACATTTTTACTACAATTTATCATATGAGGTTATTTCGTCGTGATTTAATTCATTATTTCCTAATGGAGAGTTAAAAATAAATTTATAATAATTGTTTCAAAGAATGATATGTAATATCACTATTTAATAACCGACAGTTATGAATTTACATCGTAAAGTTCATCAGATCGCTCGGTGTGTTATCATAAATATATATTGGTTTATAGGATTAATGCGTATTTGAATTTGAATTTGTATTTGTACTACCTATTTTAATATATTTAATCATCTATTAATAAAATATTTGTATAGAACTGAATACTAACTTAAAGAGCCAATTATTTGTAAATAATTTTTTGTCATCGAAAAAGCACCAACTGTAAAAAGATAAGTCATCATTTTATTAATATTACAATATTAAAATCTGATGATACATGGATAATTATTTAATTGGCAGTAGGACCTAAGTATCAAATAAACCTAACTCAGTGGCAACAAAAAATCAGTTTAAATTATTGATGTTCCTTTCGATAAAACATATTATACTATATCTCAAAACCTCATCAAACAATTTACTCAATATCCATACTAAAAATATGATCATACACATCATAAGCAGTTGACTCGAAGATACTTATCAAGATTTACAGATCAAATACAAGCTCCAAATTAAGGGATGGATGAATTCTTTACACATCAGTTTCTTATTCAACACTAAAAACAATTATCAACAATAGTGGATTAAGACCAGCACTAGAAGCTTAACGTAGCTTTCAAATTGTTGTCCTGCAAACGTAGCCATTGAACCTGACATAAATAGGGCTGAAACAAATCTAAAATACATGGCCTTAGCAATGTAATAGTTATATTATAACAATTACCCTTACACAAAAAAGATTTGGAAGTACACTAAAACCTAAAATCTAAATATTAATTTAGTTATGAATCATTATTTATTAAAATGTTTATAAATATTTAAAATCACGCCATAAATAGTTAGTCATATTTACTAAAGAAGAAATCCATCACAGATTGGAATCGTTCTTCTACACTAAAAACTATAAAAAGATAAATTTTACAAAACATAAATATCAGTTTGTTACTATTTTTATATTTCAGTCAAATCAACCACACGTAATTGCGTACGTTATTTCTGTATACAAATTCTTAATCTTATTAAAATTGTTAATTAAATGTGACGCAATGAAGTATAACGATCAGTTTATAATGATGGATCGACTATCTAATTAAAATACTTCACTTGGCGTGACTTGAGTGCTAAATTATACCTATTATATAATGTCGTACCTAGTGTATTATATTACTTCTAGCTAAATTACTTGTCCTTGTCGAATTTTATTACAAAAAATTTGTATTACCCGACGTTTACTGTACGGCATCATACCAAGACAGACGATTGTCCCGTCAGGTCATTTTTCCTAGCTAATTCCAAGTAATCTTGGTTAACCTAACTTTAATAGTTGTATAATTTTAATAATAAAATGAATAATATGAATAATTTTAAGAATAATTAAAATGATTTATTGATATTATGCAATTTATCTATAAACTACATTCGAATTATTTAATTTTGATGCTTAAATCACTTAACTTGTTGGCGTACTGACTCTTCAGCATGCCACATAAAATAGTCCATGTGAAAAGCAATCTTGAATGTACCAAAAATGTAAATTTTGTAATACTCTAAAGTGGATAGTCGAAAGACGTGGCATGTGCTGTAATATAGGTAAAACACAACTCGATCCCTTGCAACCACTAACAGAACCATTACGCAGTTTACTTCAGGAAGACCATCCTGATCACGATTACTTCATTAATCGTACTAGGAAGTCGAATAGTTGTTTTCAAATGACATAGTTTGGTGCTAAACAGACTGTTTAAGAGGGGTTAATGCCAAATTTTAAAGTTCAAGGACAAGTCTACAATTTATATGGCAGTTTGATTACAAATAATAAGTAAAACCTTTAATTTTTACAAATATATTTTGTTGAAAATGTAAAGAATATGTATGCAGCAAACGTTATCTATTTACTATAATTAAAGAAACTCAAAGATGTGAAGATGGCTATCCAAAAAATAGAAGACGATTAACAGAAGACAGAGGTTACAAAGTGAACATTAAGTCAATAGACTTAGATGGTAGGTGGGTAGTTCCATATAACCCTGTGTTATTGCGTAATTTTATTGCTTATATAAATAATAACAAGTTCAATAAAGTCTATAAAATATGTATGCAAATATGTCACAATAGGTAGAGATCAAGCAGCGTTTGGTTTAGGAAAAACTGACAATACAGATGAAATAAACATGTATGAAAGTGACAGGTACAACAGTAGTTTTGAATCAGCGTGGAGAATTATAGGTTTTCGTGTTATTTAATAAATTATTTCCTAACTAATGCGTATTTGTATTTTGTATTATCTATTGCAACCATCCACAAACTCAGTATTCATTATGACATATTTGGAAATAACAATATAAAAAAATAGTCATGTTTACTCACAAACATATGCCATTGCTGCTTGATTTGTGTCTTGAGATGAATATTTTCTATCTATAAAAAGATAAATTATACACACATAAATCAGTAACATCAAAAACTACAATTGAAATTAGAATGTTTGGTTTTATTTTTCGTAGTTGACTTCCATAAGTAATACATAAGATTATACAACAACTCTGAACTTCAACAAACAATTAATTTTATCCAGGGTTGTCCAACCCACTTCGCTCAGAAAATGTCTATTTTTTAACTACTTCGAAGACAGATGTAGTATCTACATAGATTCAATGAAAAGTAAAATTAAAAGAAACATTTAGTTAGGTACGTAGTTTTAGTTTACGGCTGCATCATAGTTGGATAATGAATTTAAAAATCGGTATACTAGTTAGAGGCAATTAGGTCAGGGAT